TTGTTTGTTTTTTGTTTGTTTTTTTGTTTGTTTTTTTTTGTTGTTTTTTTTTTTTGGGGGGGGGGGGTTCGGTATCATCTAGAATATCAGCCACAGCCTGTCCAGCTCCTTTGAGAAGATTGTTCAAGAAAGTTTCAGTATCCATAAAGTCACCGTGGGGAATTTCAATACGACCTTCCACAACTCTGGCTGTGATGCAGGTCTGTCATCTGTCTCGACAGAGCTCCTTTTATTCTTCACTGGACTGGTGGACAATACTAATGATTGAAAGTTTTGATCTGAACGTCCTTCCCCAAATGATTGCGATACAGGTCCGTCAACAAAATCAGACGAACTATACTGCATTATTCATGCGCAGTATACAACAAGAGAAAGGACACAAGCTGAAATAAATTTTGGTATGCCATTGAAAGGTGTTGATATTTATGAATGAGTTGTCGAAATTGTCGTCAATGACAATGTTGCTTTTTTTTTTTTTGGGGGGGGGGTAAGCGTTTTAAGGCGCTCTCAACTGCATAAGGTTAGATCTATATGAGCGCGCGGGACACACCAAACATTTTCAGTTGGTAGGAAACTGAATTTTATCCAGGTGGCGGCCGAAGCCTGCTCAGGCTACTCAACGATTTTAGACTACCAAGGGATCTTTAACGTGCGTAACTTGCACACCGGACCTCCGAGATTTTTCGCCCTTGTCCGAGAAGGCTAGGTGTAGATCTTTCCTACCATAAAATCAGGGGTGTGGCTGAAAGACAGCAGCAAGATTAGTAAGAAGGGGCCAAGGAGTAGCAGTAAAAAGGCTGCAGAAAAAGAGTCAGGATCCCAGCGGAAGTGAGGGGGTGGGGGCAGATAGTGGAGACGAAATCAGACGACAGAACATTGCTGGAGAGCAGGAAAGGAGGTGAAAGGAGACAATTTTATAGAGAAGAAAATGTTTCCGTCGCTACCCGGATTCGAACCCGTACCTTTCAACAATGAGAGGCGAACACCTTAACCTCTAACTTGACTCTAAGCCACGAGAGCCCCCTGACAATGCTTGAATTTTCCAAGGGTGGCTGTGTCTGTGGTCTTGCTTCGTTCATGAAGTGTAAATAAAAGGGAACAAAAGCGCATAAGCTCCCATCCTTTGCCTTTACTGATTTGATACATTCGTGCGCAGTTCACAAGTAGAATCTAGGCCTACATGTACATGTAACTGTCCCCGTGGTTTTATGCACCCCTCATAATTTTGCAAAATATGTTCTTTTTTTTGGCATAATTTCTGATCATTTTCCTTTATCATTCTTTGTTAAAATTAACAGAATTGCATCATTTCACATTTTTAGGCTCAGTTTGCATAATTTCTGAATTTTTCTTGCATAAAACGACGTGGACAGATGTAACTGCGCTCCAAAATTTTCAGAAAATTCAGGTGAGTATGTAGGCGTTTTAAGACGCTAGACTGGAAACACAGTTCTGGTCATAAGCGCTCTCATAGAAAGGTTCGTTGTTTCAGTTTCTTCAATCAAGA